TTTTGTATCTTGCATAATCTAAATGCGGGGTTTTGCTTACATCTTAAAATATCCTAAATCTGGGTTCAGGAATTGAGAATCCACTGCCCCTGCGCTTTGTTGTGCTACGCATGTTGCACTGTTGGATATGTGATGGCACCTTTCTATGGCCCACGCATTTTAGAATGAAAAATTAATCAGGGCCTTTTTTTTTCCCTTCATTTTCTCCTTTGTTTCAAAATGAATTGTTACTCCAATCTACTATTGGCGTTCTTTGTTGTTTGTGTGCTCTGGTAACAAAAAGTTAGCCGCATTTGTGCTTGGACTAGTTGCCGAATGAAGTATTGGGACCAGCCTTGTATGTTTATATAAATCGTGATACATAGAAGTTGTTGCTGCTCTACGTGGTAGGTAATAGATAATGGATGATCAATCTCGTGTTTTTTGTTTGCAAGTTCATTTATTGTTCTTAACTTTTACGGTCAATTTAGGATATTAATGATGTTATGATGCTTAGATCATGATTTTGTGTAACATTGAATGATTAAAGCTGCATGTTTGTATGTGAATGGTGATTCGCATGAAAAATGGATGGGCCCATGCTTTGCTTAAACATAGAATGTCAAGAATTGCCATCTAAAATCCAGGTACTTTGTCAAAAGAGATTAAACTCTTAATGTCTTTTATTTGGGATGTTTGTTGGTCTGCCTCTGAAATGCCCTACAGGGAATTTGGGGCAAGATTTTCTATTAGACTGTTGCTTTTATGACCTCGCACGTCTTAAGTTTGTGCTTTAAGGGAACTTGTTAGAAGTAACATTTAAACCTGAGTTGATATTGAAGAAAACCAGATTGCTATTCAGAACTTGTTGGTTATTGATGTTTGTTGCTGCTTAATTATCCTGGTGGACAATTGCTTCTGGTTGTTGTTTCTTAGAGATAAGAGTTCAGAAAATAGTCTAAACTTGTTAGTTTTGATGTTTCTTGGTTTACCTATAAAGAAACTCGGCCATAATTATCACTTCAGCATGATTATAGGTGTTCAATCAACCTTCTTTAACATAGCAGTTATCTAATGCTGCCCTGTTCTTGTTTAATGTGGACTTTGCTGGGATGATGAGTCCTCATTCTCAGGTTTAGTTCACAGTTTCGTGGATACTGTGATAGGGAACTTGTCCTGTAAACTCTCTGAATAATATATGGTGGCAATTCTGGTAAATGACTTACCTTTTCTTTTTTATGATAGACAGAAATACTGCTTGTGTGCGGTGGCATCTAGGGCATAATTAATGGGATGTCGTGTATTGCAGTACATGGGTGTTTCTCTCTTATTGCAATATATTGGTGTTTCTTTCTTAATGAAACAATTAGCAGGGGTTCAGAAAAGAGGTGATTATTTGTTGTAATGTATGGCATGCCTTGTACACCGCAATCTCATCACAGGGGCATGGATATCAAGGTGCTCAATGGAATCAAATTGAGTAAAAAATGTGTAATTCTTTTTTTTTTTTTGGTGGCTCTATCATCTTCTTTTTTCTTAACGGGTTAGTAATGTGGTGGTAGAGATGCCAACATTTGACAGTATAATTTTTCAAATCCAGATAAATTTGTTGATGTCAACATAATTTCAACTAATTTTCAATCTCATAGGAAGTCTGCTAGTTTTGATCTGCAGGCTTTCTTGTCAGTTGTCTGTTACATGATATATCAGGGATTTAAGCTGTTGAATTGTATCACAAGGCTTAGATTGTTTATAATATCTGATGTGGGAGTCTCAATTTTCTTTTAGTGCGTGGATAACCCTATTGAGCATCCAGGCTTTCTTGTCATAGGAAGTCTGCTAGTTTTGATCTGCAGGCTTTCTTGTCAGTTGTCTGTTACATGATATATCAGGGATTTAAGCTGTTGAATTGTATCACAAGGCTTAGATTGTTTATAATATCTGATGTGGGAGTCTCAATTTTCTTTTAGTGCGTGGATAACCCTATTGAGCATCCAGGCAAGACATTGATCAATGAGCGGAGAAATTTTTAATCCTAACTAATTTACTCTCATCTTTGACATAATGTTTTTTCTCATTTTTCCCTGCGGTACAGAGAAACAGTGTATACAGGACATTTCATCTACATTCCCTTTCTAGCCTTGTCTTACATGTATTGGATTCCCTATATCTTCTACTGTTAAAGAATGGAGAACGCCACGAAACAATATTGCTCATCCTCGTCTAGTTGTGTTTGATTACAGGCGGACACGTGCTGTGTTTGATGTTGCGATCAAGGTTCATCGTAATATACAGGAGAGAGATCTTGAAGTAGGAAGGAGTATTGGGAACAGGATACTAAGATGGCTTGACAGGATGAAGCCATCTGCTCAGATTCAACCAAAGCCTCCCCAGAATGGTAATGCAAGCGCAAGTGTGAAGAGGCATTTAACTGATTCAAGCCACCAGTCAACTCCCTCAAACTTCCAAAGAAATGGTGTACGAAGTGGGGCTCCTGATTCTGACAGACATTTATTTACCTCATCAAGGAATGTCTGGCCTAAATCATTCCAAAGCGTCGCTATGATGATGCGACGGACCAAGCCAGCTGGAGTTAATACTCAATACCGACATTTAAGCATCTATGGTCTGCAGGCTCTTAAGGTTAACTATGGAGGACTTGGTTCAGGTGGAGTGGTTCGAAGCGACATAATGCAGTGGATGTTACAAAACTAGTCCATACAGCAAAAGTTCTATTTTCTATATCCATCATGTCTGTGTTCATTGGTGGGTATAAGCAGTTTATGAAGGCTAACTTGACAACAGAAAGCGGATGGTTAGAGACTCCTTTCTGGCTGTGATTTCGTTCTTTGGGGATTAATAATATCTTTTTAAACTCTTTTCCCTTGATTCTGTATGTTGTTTTCATCCCTTTTACAATTTTGGAATCCTGAAGCTGTATTGTTCAGGATCATAGATACTATCACAGTTCTTTCTATTAAATTTTTCGCAGAGAACAATACATGTGAATGCTTTCTTTCTTTGGACTGGTTTGTTACTGCAATATCAAAGCTACATCTCTTTTTTTTCTTTTTGGTGGTTTCATTTTAAGGAAAGGAGAGGTTTAGGGCCTGTTCTCAGGTCATGGAATATTGTTGTATTGTATAGCAAGGCATCCCCTATTATTGTCTCAACTTTGAGAAGCCATTCGTTTTAGGGAATTTATCAGTTTATCCCCTTAAACCATACCCCAACTACCAGTTTAGTCTCTAACGTTGACTTTTAGTTACTTAAGTCCTTGGACTAACTGTTTGACCGTTAATTCAAGGACTTAAATGACTAAAAGTTAACGTTAGGGACTAAACTGATAGTTAGGGGTATAGTTTAAGGGGGTAAACTGATAAAAATTCCATTTTATAATTCATGTAAAAAGAAATGTTTAGATCCAACTTAATTATAATTGGACAAATATACCCATAAATTGCCCTGCTAACTAACTAAAGTTTGGTGAAAAATTTTATGACAAAAATACCCTCTCCTTGTGCTTTAAGTATAAAACAAGGATTAGAAAGCTTTTCTCCCCTCTATTTTCTTAAATTGTTTACAAAATTTTTTATTTTGCGTAATACCTTATCAAGACATTGCAAATATGATGATATCGAAGTGTGGAATTTTATAACTTGTTTGCACGTCATCGAGCAAAGACAATCTTAGAAGGAAAATTTTATATTTATTCTATTATAAGGTCTATTTTTTCTCAAGTGATATGTTAGTAAAAAAATTTTCCCTAGTGGTCCTTTTCTTTTCATAATTTTCCAAATTATAAGAACATGCAAATTTTGCCAAATTGAAGCAATTCTCACATATTAGCAGGGCAATTTATGGGTACATTTGTCCATTTATAATGAAGTTGGATCTAAACATGTCTTTTTATATAAATTATAAAATGCCTTCTCATTTAACCGTTAGTCCAAGGACTTAAGTGATTAAAAATTAATGTTAGGAACTAAACTGATAGTTGGGGTATAATTTAAGGGGGTAAACTGATAAAAACCCATCGTTTTATTTTAGAGTGGAAAATGATCCTACTGAAAAGGGCTGAATAGTTTTAGAATGGAAAGACTTGAGAATTCGGAATCATTTCTCATGATTTTACTTGAGACGTGAGAATAATAATGCAGCAAAATTGAAACTTTGGCTAGTGACTATCATTCCTGCATTCCAAAAAAAAAAAAAAAAGAAGTACTACATTAAATCTTTATTAGGTATTGATTATGTGATTTAGACTTTGAGGCTTTTCATTTGTTAATTCAAGATTGAAATGCAATTAAAAGTTTGACATCTTTAGTCATGGTGTAGAATTACTATTTTGTTTCTTAGTTTTGAGAAGTTGAAATACAAAATCAATTAGGGTTAAGAAAAGGAAAATGATATTTACACAACTTTAAAGTCATAGAAACTAAGTAAACAATATTTCACCTCACATTTATTTTTGATTATTACCATATTTGGATCTATTGCTTAGGCATCTTATATTTATTCCAATCACTTAATTATGATTGAACCGTTAAGAATATAGAGGAAAAGAAATTTAAAGAAAATAAGTGTGTCCGGATATTATTTTATTTGTAAAATATTTTTTACTTATATCATAAACACGTTTTTCAAATACATTTTTTATATTTTTAATTATCATTTTATTACAGTAGTGTTATTTCAAATAATTTTTCCAATAATCTTCTATCCAAAATACACTTATTAGGGTACGTTTTGGTTCTCCATAGAATTGGAATTGAAACCTCAATTTCAATTCTTGTGTTTGGATATTATTTTTCCTATAGAATTAGAATTGAATTGCAATTCTAAATCCATCGAATTCCGTAGTTCCAATTCTTTGGCTGGACCAAAGAATTCCAATTCCAACTCCACGCTTGAACTCTTAAATCGGGTCAATACGCGGGTCTTTTACGGGTAAAATCTCAAAAATGGGTCAACTATAAAATTGATGGACAAAACTCAAACGTCTCTCTTCTCTTCCCATTATCGATCGCCATATCTAATGCTCTGTTGGAGCATTCCTGCCGCCGCCTCCTCCACTTGTGCTGGCCACTGCATAACACAGGTTGAAATTATGGGGTTTTAATTAGTTTCTGTCAGTCTTCCCCTTCCCTTCCAGTGAATGAATTGAGAATTGATTCGATGAGTGAAGAATGAAATTTCATTACCAATTTGGCAAAATTCATTGATCAATTCCATCTTAGCGTCCAAGGACAAACAAAAGTGCCCAACTTCTTCGTTATTTCCTTGAAGCTGATACTTGTTCAGGAGAGAACGAGGAATAGTCTCTATTATTTGCAGTCTCTCCCTAGCATCAGGAGAGAACGACATGGCTTTGTAATTTACTCCCTACTATTCCAGATTTTTCAGATAGAATTAGAGTATATAAAGGTAACTTCATAATTTTATTTTTTTCTATTAAACATTATTTTTTAAGGTATTTTTTTTGATAATTTGTGGTATTGATTGATTCTATGCGATTATTATTATTATTTTAAGCTTATAATTTACGATGTTATGAGAACAAAAGAACAAGTTGGTCTTTGGTTTCCATTTTGTTGTTTGTTTGAGTTTTAGTTAATTAGTCAAAATTTGACTTGGAACCCATTCGGGATAATGCCTGAACGCATAGGATTTGAGAGTACTTATTAGGAACTTGGACATTTTTTTATTGATTCTGAGGCTTTTGGAAAAATCAACTTTGATTAGAAGTAAACAACTTTCATGAAACTTGAGAAGAAAAAAGTTGATGGAAATTGTCCTGCCCCTGATCGTGGTGAATTCTGAGCTCTCTGTTTTTTGGTTTCTTCTTGTCGATAGTACATTGAGGAGGATAGGAGTTGAAGATAGGCATAGACTAACTTTTGTATTCCATTGTTGCTCTGATTGTCCACTGTCACTTGATTGATTATTTTCCCTTGAACTTTGATGAAAATTGGAGAGCTCATACTGTAAAAGTTGAAAGGATTAATCATGATATGAAAAGGGAACCTTTTTGTTAGTGTTTTCTTGTTGAATTTTTGGTGTTGTTTTGTCTTTAGACAAGTAAATTGTTGAATGAAATTCTGGTTGATCTGTATTTGAATGGAATTTTGTGATCCCTTTTGTTTCTTATGGTGGATGGTGTGTAATATGAAGAACATACCTAGATATTGATGAATAAAAGGTTGATCCTGGCAAAATTTTAAGTAAACAGCCTCTGCAACGACTAATTTTCTCATCAGAGAATTCATCGTCTTTGAGTTTGCTCAATATCAAGGGATGCTCATGACTGAAATGTTGGATCTGCTCCATTAATTCTCTCTTGTGTGTGTGTTGTGTGAGATTGAGGAGAGAAAATGAGGGAGTGCTGAATTTAGTTCTCTGAGCCTTAGAGCTTAATTATCAACTTTCCTGGCCAATGGCTGCTGAAATGTATATTAAGAAAAAAAGGTGAAAAATGCTTTACTTAAAGATCAACATAGCTTAAACCTTTTAGACTGCATATTCTTTGCTCTTAGTAGTAGCTAACAAATTGGAACTCACTTTCTTACCGAGGAAGTAGTCTTCATATTCACAAAAGTTTTAACACATCCTAATAAAGCATAAACAGTTTGCGTGAAAAAAAATGAAGGTTCGTTTCAGTAACACTATCTTCCTGTAGTCATAAGAAAATGAAAAATCAATTTTGCTTTTATGGTATATGATAGAATTCATCTCTTTAAAACTTGCTGTCAGGGCCTGAAAAATCTTTTATGTATCAGCTCAAGGCTGCTAAATTCTCGTCAATGGACATGGAATGTGATGAATGTTTGTAAGATACAAAACTCAAATATTTATAATAGGTACAAGTTATGACTTTCCTCCCAATTCATATCATAGAGTAGGCTTTTGATTTTCTAAAATTTAAAGTTCTTAACTTAAAAAAAGTATCAAGGTTTTAACTCGATAAATATTAACTACTTTTTAAGTTAGAATATACAATTATTTTTTATTTAATTTAATTTAATTTTAAAAAAAAAAGAATTTTTTTTTTTTTTGCAAAAAAGGAACTAATTTTTTTTCTTTTAAAGCTTTATTAAAAATTAGTTAAATGCAAGAAAAAATAAATTATTAAAGGTACTAATTGGTTTTTTCCTTAAAGCTTTAGTAACAATTAGCTAAATATTAAAAAATTATTATATAGTAGAAAAAAGAAATTTTTTATGTAAGGAAATATTAGTTGGAAACAATTCTAATTTTTAATGAATTCTTCTCCCATCCAAACAAAGAATTTGAAATTTCAAATGAATTATGTATCAATTCTATGCATTATCCAAACAAAAGAATTCAAATGTTTTGGAATTCCAATTCATAGAATTCTAATTCTATAGAATTCCAATTCCAATGCAATTCCAATTCTGTAGAACCAAACGAACCCTTAGAAATCTCCCCAACCTTTTGACAGAGTTGGAGCAGACCAAGTCCAGGTGTCCAACTAAGCGTCGCTAGTCCACCTTACTCCAGTGGATATCAGAACACTTGAACTTAACCAAAACGTAATTGGGAAACGAAAACTTCAAAAAAAAAAAAAAAAAAAAAGAAGAAGAAAAGAAGAAAAAAGTAAGCAGAAGAAACTACCACTCGAAATCCTTGAATCAAACCCTAATCGAAGAATCCAAATCTTTCAGGTAACTGATTTTCCCAGTAATATTCTTTACTTTTATTCTCTGTTTTGTTTTTGGTTTCGGCATGATATGTTAATTACAGTCTTAATCGTTTTCTTTTCTGGAACAAGTAGATTCAAATTCTAGGTCTGTAAATTATGAGGACCTTGAATATTTATCCTTTTTTGGTTTATTTTTGTGAGAATCATAGCTTAGGTTGTTTGTAATTGTGAAAAGATATTGCCCAAGTGCCCTTTAATCTGCAAGTGGTGATAATTTTAATTGTTCTGGAAATGAAGATCATAAACTCACTAGGGTTCATAAAGAAAACGAAAAAGAAAAAAAAGTAATGCTGATCATTAATTGTATATTAAGAACAGTTTTATACAAAAAATAATTGGGAGTAGTATTTTGGCGTTTAAATTAAAAAACTGTTTCTATATCCTTGTGATGGAGCAATTATGTTGGAGAAATGCTTGTCTTCCTTTTTGGGGCTTGGGGGTCATGTATATGTAGTTTTTGAATTCAATGGCGGGTAATGAAGGTATGGAAAGTAGATGGATGTTTCACCAGCAGAATTTTGTGGTTTGTCGTTGAGGGAAATGGGTTATAGGTTGCTTAGCAACTACACTGGTTGGATTTTGCTTCCTACACGGAGGCACAAGGATGAATGTGTAAGAGTTTGCTTAGCAATTTCCCTGTTACTGCTTTTTTGCATCATGATCATTTGTGATTTTGTACTCTTTTTTGCAATAATTACACCTTCTAACCCTTCATTGAACTCCCTCTTTGGTAAATTAAGGTGAAAAACTATAAAAGAACAGAAATAATAATTACACCTTCTAACCCTTCATTGAACTCCCTCTTTGGTAAATTAAGGTGAAAAACTATAAAAGAACAGAAAAAAGGAAGGAGTAGATGGATTTAGCAGACAAGGCCGTGGGGCTGCTGTTATCGGGAATCAGCTTGTCAGTTTTCACTTACTATACATTCTGGGTGATCATACTGGTTAGTTTTTTCACTTCTGATCCTAAGAGCTTTTTCTTTTTGACTCTGGGTTTTTCCCTTTGTTTCTGACGTACATTTTTCTTTTGTGCTTTCAGCCGTTCGTTGATACTGATCATTTTGTGCACAAGTACTTTTTGCCTCAAGAATATGCCATTCTGATTCCGGTGTTTGCTCTTGTGGCGCTGCTTTGCTTCCTCTGCATGTTTGTTGGATATGTGATGCTCAAATCCAAAAAGAAGAAGGCATAATGCAAGATCTATAGTGTGTGCTGCAACTACCATTTTTTTGTCACATACAGATAGTTTTATTGCTGGGTTTCTCTTTTACTTGTAAATGGAGGATTTAGATGATTGCACTCAGTTCCTGTTAATTTGGTGAAACCTGAAACTGGTAATTGTCTTAGAAAAAAAGCTGACAAATTGCTGATAAAGATTATCTTCAGATATTGTTAGCCTGCTCTTGTAAGAGAGCAGTTGGTATCATTTTGTTTTGCAAGATCTAGCATTTATCTTTTAGTTGTGGAAAAACAATGCCATAATTTTGCTTATGTACACCAATGCTTGGCGCTCTGGGGTTCCATTTGTTGGTCAACTGCTTCATGCATGTTTGTTCTTTCAAATGTAGGTTGGGAGGAAATAATGATCTTCTTTAATTCGTTTTTGGTTTTCTTTGGTTAATGGCACGGCTTGGTAAGCCTGCCTGACTAAAGCTCTATCAGAGACAGGCTCACGTTGTTCGGCATTACTGGAAGAATTGCTTTTTGACCTGTACGTGTGAGGATGAAAGTTGGTATCTGCTGGAGTGATGAAGTAGCCTTTTGATGTGATTTTACCAATCAAAAGTCTTCTCATAAGATTCTTTCTTATTTCAATTGCTGGACTCGTTAATTTTGGCTGATTCTAGGGCTAAAGAGGATACCTAGATTTCATTGCTTAAGCAGTAGTTATACGAGTGACTACAGAACGAAATGATGCTGGTATCCTAGTTTGACAAGATAATATCTGAATTTACTACGTAAAATTGAAACTTTGTAACATGATTGAGATTGCTTGGTGTAACTAGCTTGTCATGCTTGACATATTCATACTTTTAGCCTCAATCCATTTGAGTTCTCTGCAGTGTTAGAAGCAAGTTTTCCTGTGACAACAGTTTGCTAGTAGGAATTCTACAGCATAAAATTTAGTAGTAGAGTTGCCTGTCTGCTGCATATCCAAACCCAAGTGTTACTGATAGCTTTGAGCTTCAGCTCCTAGTATGCAGTTATGTCTCGGCACCTACACGGCATGCAATTCCCAGGTTTTACTAGGTTTCACGCAACAGAGACATGCAGATTATATATATATATATATATATATTGCATTGCATTCCATGTTTATACACCAATCAATGAGCTTTCTTCAAATTTGCACTTCTTTGGCTTCAACATCTGGTAAAAATCCATTACAAACAGAACTTTTGCCAAAAGATAAGATGGATTGGTTGCTGAACATTGAAATTGCAAAATTCATACCTCTTTAGGCAAAAGCAGTAAACAAATTAAACTTTATACAAGTGCAGAAGCTTCTTATCTTATAGGAAATAGGAGAAGCACTCCATACATAAACAGAAAAGGGGAAAGAAACAGTAATGAACTGGCCTTGTTACAAAACAAAAGCCTTGCTATGCCTACGAGGCGGCCAGTGATATTCAGCTTTCAGCAAGGTTTCTACAAACTTATGACTGAAAAACTTCTTTCCGGAAGGGAACACACTCTCCTCTGAAAGCACAATCGGCCTAAGTACTTGATGTCTAACCTGCAAAACATATTTAGCCCAACATTTTACAGTCAGATTTTCAAATTCCATTGTAATAATCCACGATATTCCAATTCATAATAATTGCAATGCAAGGCTCCAAGTTTTGTTGCTATTCAGTTTGGACTAATGTCTACAAAAATAAGAAAATTGATATGCAGTAGTAGTAGAGATAAAGAAGCAGAAGCTGGATTATTGATGGGGTGAAGTTGGTAGGCACAGCAATTTTCTTGCTGGTCAACTCTGCTACCACAACCTAATGAAGTTGGCTGGATTGAATGTTCTTCCAAGTACATCCATCCACCTTACGCGTTTATACTTTATGGTTTGTTAATAACCACGAAGACTTTCTCTCCATGATTCATGATTACTACAACAACTACTCCTACTTTACTTCTTTTTTTTCGATAAATTGAGAGGATTTGAATTCAAAAATTCTTACTTACGAATCCTCCCATTTTATCACTCATCTCAACCCTCTCTCGAATCACCACGACTACTTCAATTGTCAAAAGCCAAATGTAAAAGTAGGTACAAGCCTCGAAGTGCAAAATTAAGGACATTCAAACTTGCAAAAGCACTTTGGAAGAGATGAGGAAATTTACAAAGTAAAGAAAATTGATCAAACATCATACAGTATATGCTTAAGAGCAAAATTACCAAACTGAAAAGAGCCTCGTATACAGAAAAAGAAGCCCTTTTGCATTAGGCTTTAAATAAATATGTATAGAAAATCCTAAATATACCTTTCGAATGTACAGTATTTAGCTTTTTCAGCAGACCAAAAAGTACAAATATTTAAAGAAGAAGAAGAAGAAGAAGAAGACAAGTTTCCTGTGTTTTCTAAACTGAATTTCCTTGAAGTTAAAGAGTAATCAGGCCGATATGATCAGGAAAATCACGGTGCAAGTTGACATATTAAATTGAATAACCATAGACAACATACTCGGAACAATATATAATCAAAATGCGATTATGTGGACAGAAAAAGGTTTTAGAAACAAAATCAAACACCATGCCCCTAAATATTTGACAATCTGCAACTGGAAAAGAAAGCAAATACCTGATAACATCCCAAATCTTAACTCCAAGAATTATCAAAAGCAGCAGAAGTAATCGCCTGCGAAAACTCCTGAAAACTAATCCTTCCATCTCCATCAGTATCAGCTTCTTTAATCATCCCAGTAAGCTCTTCAGCAGTCAAGGCATGTCCAAGCTTGGCCATGGAGTGAGCCAACTCTGCGGCAGTAATAAAACCATTGCCATCTCTGTCAAACATCCTGAACAACTGCTTCAACTGCTCCTCCGTGTACGGAGATTTGGCAGGTAGAAGTTCTGGCGCTACTAAAGCAATAAACTCTGAAAATTCAACTAAACCATTGTTGTTTCTGTCAGCCTTTTGGATCAAAGTTTCAAGCTGATCAGGGCTTGGTTTTAGGCCTAGCGATCTCAACAGCGATCCTAGCTCTAACTGCGTGAGGCTTCCATCGTTGTTTCTGTCGAATGATCGGAAGATTTCTCGAAGCTCTGCTAATTGCTCATCATCCAAACTTACTGGCTCTTTACTGCTCATTCTTTGCAGCAAAAGAAGGAAGAAACAAATCTAAATTTTCTCCAAAACAAAACCTGCTTTCTTGCTTCTTTCCCTATATGATCACTGCTCTTCTTGCTTTGACATCGATATTGATCAAGAAAACGGATCAGGACGTCTCTCTTCTCCTAGTAAAGCTGCACAAAAATGAGTTCTTGATTGATCACCAACATTAATCCCACCTCGGCAGTGTGTGTATGCGTGTGTGTAAAGATTTCAGACTTCAGAGCCTTAGTCAGTGATCCAAGTACAAAGGGTTTCTTGGATTTTGTTAGTGATCCAAGTCTTTCGCTGGATCCTTGGAATTCTGAGTAAAACTTTGACGAGCTAATAGGATCCTAACAAAACAGAAACTTTTGTATTGTATTTTCTTGGCAGGAAAACACGCAGTCACGCACTAGAAAGAAAAACCTGCGAGTAAATTACCATTCTACAAGCCGACTTAGGTAGGATTTGATTATATAGTAAAATAGATTACTAAGATTGTGAATAGTAATCAACTAATCATCAATAATAATGAATTATCATAATGTCCCGAATGCGTTTTTCTGAAGTTTATGCGTTTGACAATCTTTTTCATGGAAAAGGGCAAAAAGGGCGGCACAAATGGCGCGAACTTCGTGAAGACGCGCACGTCCTTTTTTGCTGATTGTGACCGTCAAGACTTTGTCAACCGTTTTTTAAATGGTCTCTAGTTTATTAAGTCTTTACACTTGGGTTGATTCATCAAATAATCTGGTGCCATGTTGGCATTTTGGGTGGGAACTTGGTCATGGTTGGTGATGTTGGCTTGTTTTGGTTGGATGGAGAGTTGGAGACCAAAAGAAGGGTTTGGGCCAGGTGAAGTACTGGCATTCTTCACTTCTTTCCTTTTATTATGGTTCTAGTAACCCTTCTTGACTTAATTTTGTTGACTTGAAGGTTTAATTTGGTAGTTTGGTGCTGGAAAGAAAGGAAATCAAGACCTTTCAAAAAAAAAAAAAACAAAAGTAAAGGTTCATGGGGTCCGTCAGACATTTTCTGGTTCCTAAAAGAACTAGGAAACTATCAACCATTTCTTCCATGGTAGACCATGCTGTTTTTGGGTCATTTTTCATTTGGAGAGGAGGGTTAAATCACACCTCTCTGTCTCACATTCACACACATCTTTATCGTAAATTCACACTTTTGATGAATTGATTGATGTCTTGTGCGGTTAATATTGAAACTTATATAATGTGCCAATTTTTTTTCATAGGATTTATGAAGAAAAATCTAATGATGTACCTCTTTTGAGGGTTGCTGATGCTGGTCCCGAATGTTCAATTATGAATGGATAAAAACACCCTTTAAATCCGGCCAAATTTATGCCTAAAGTCATCGAAAATGCTTAAAATGTGCAATTTTAATTGTTCAAAAATCAATCAGAAACAAAATTTAGATGAGAGGCCAAAAATAGATAATGACAATAGTTTAGGGTTCTCCAGGTTTGTTACTCTCAATAGTAGTGTGTCTCTGCAGTCCAATCAAGTCAAAGAACAAAAAGTCGCTGAGAAAAAGGGGGAAAAGGAAAACAAAAAGAGTAGCCAAGACTGATTCCCATTTTGGTTCCGAGGCTCGTCCTACAATCTCTTCTCCTCTAATTTTTACCTCTGCTCGGGGAAGAACAGGGTTTGTAAAAGCATTTTAGTTATTCGAATCAAAACTGTGAACGTAGACAATCTGAGCACTCCACCACATTATACTTCCAAAACCAGCACAACTGACAAAGAAAACAAATAAAACACAAGGAACAACTGATTGCAAAACTCCATAGCTTTAATTGTTCACTTCGTATAATTCAATTGGATGCAAGAAAACTACGAAGAATGTGCAGTATCTATATTCTGATACTTAAAATGTAACAAAACTATCAAACTCTGGTCGGGTTACCCTTTGAGGAGGCCAGGGCACCTATGCTAAATTGCAGAAGATATAGGTGGTGAGGTTTGAAGCAGCTTCCCAACAGCTATGAACAATGTAGGACAGGCCACCAAGTATGCTTATTCCCAAATCAAATCTTATATGCACTCAATCCACCTATGGGTAAAAACACTAACGTGGGGCCAATAAAGTGCAGCTAAACTGGAAGTGTAATAACAAAGCAGAATTGAGCACATTTTCTGAAACTATTGTGTCTTTCAGAGTA